AGACAGCTGCGCAAGGCTTGTGTAAAATGTTGTAAATGGTAATTTTATATGAACTTGCCACTGCTCTTTCTCCCAATGCCGTCTGATTAATTGTTATTCAAATATTTGCTGGCAGTGCTCATTGTTTAGCCTGAAGTATTCACACTTTAGTGCTCAACTGATTAAATAAACATGCACCACTTTGCAAATCACCATGGCAAATTACATCCTTTGTTCTCCGATTTGCAGCTCCACAAAGCACATTCAATAAGACGCGCCTGCGAGCGCTTTCAATCACATCAGCTAATCAGGCAAATCAATGTGCTCAGCTTCCTTGAAGCTGCACACTTCCCCTTCAGCCTCCAACCCACCACATCTATGTACATTCCGAATGTTGCTTTTCATCTTGAAAAGCGTATAAAATATACAACAGTGTCGTCCTTTGTTTGCCACAAAGAGATACAGCGTGCGAGAAAAGTATACCCAGCAATTGGAAGCACTTGTTAAGTTCGAGAACAAACTTAACTGTGCATTCGACTGTAAAAAAAGCCCACTGCACATGTTTACGCCGACAAGTAAAAGCGTTCGCGTTTCATAAGTTAATTACGTCAGCAGCAGGGCACGCACCTTTGCCACGTCTTGCCAATGTGCCACAGTGCCGCGGTCAAACAATGGAGCAGCACGAGCAGAGGCAGCTTAACCAGCAACACACTTCGAGCCTTAATTTGCAACTTGATTAAAGTAAAGTATGTTTGCATGTATGCTGAGCTTATACTCGTGCTCTTTGCAGCAACCACATCGGTAATTGTTACGCTTGGCAGGCGCTTCGCAACCACATTGCAACGTTGCCTGGAAATTGGATTTTCATATTTATTTCCATTCATTGCAACCAACCGAAATTTTACTTTGTACCGCCCCAGTGGTGGTGTGTCGACCCAAATATGTCAACCAAACACGATTGCAAGGGTGCGCCTAGGCGTGACAACAGACGCATTTTTGGAGTGCAACGAAACGCGTTTTAAATAAATACAATAAATAAATAAGTTATTTCGAAATAAATATGTTTACGCTCGCATTGGCATCCGTTTTAATTAGTCAAATTGTATTTAAATTAATTCACAGATTTGAATTCTGCACTCTTAAATACATAACTGATAAAAATGTTTGTTGATGCGTTTAATTGCCACAACAAATAATCGTGCACAGTGTTAGAGATTGTAAATGAATGGAATGAAATGACATTTATGTATATTATATAGAGGTATTTCCATGAATGCAGGTGCAACTGAACTTAGTGTTAGCTAATGTTGTAATTAAAATCCCCATCTACTCTTACAAACTCTTACCAGCAATAAGGGATTATTACATTAGAGAACTAATAGAATAAGCTAATCACATTTTCAGCAGAGTTTGAATAAAAGTGTTTACAAATATGGAAATGTGGCCCTGAAGTCGAGCGGGCTCTTGCTGATGCTGAACTTAAATCTTTTTTAGAGAACTTAAATCTGGTTTGGTTTGAGAATTGAAAAAAGCATTGGCATTTGTAAATTGCTTCCGGAAGGAATTATTTTAAAGTTATCGCTGTAAAGGATTTTATGAATAAATAAAGATATTTGAAATTATAAGAATAATAGAAGCTATACCCATGATACCAACCCATGCCTAAACAACACAAAGGGTTCCTAAATTGGCTCACGGACGGCACACATGATTTCCGGCCTACAGACACTTATGTCGACTTCATTTAATTTATTCATACATAAATTTATTCCCGCAACCAAAAAAAAAACTAGTTCTAATAAGTAAATAAAAAATAAATGTTGCATGGACAACTTACAACTATCAAAACTGAGAACGGAAACGAAATAATAAAAATAATGGTAACAATACTAATAAAAACAGTAGAAATGGTTAAATATAAATTTCAAGAAAAAGACTTTAAAAACTATATAAGTGTTCATGACAGCAAATAGAAAACGAATTAGGCACTGGCCTGTATTTAAAATATGTTGACGAAAATTGCATTCCATTTTGAGTACACGGATCGCAAAGTATGAAGAGAAAAAAGGGGAAAAAAACAATAACAAAAATAGCAGAAAGAAAGTATTAATTTTGCACGGACTTGGCGCCTCTCTAAAAAATGTGGGCCTTGCTTTGCAAATTAGAATTTAAAGAGACCTTTTCATGTGCTTTGCGGTTTCTCTCCGCTAGGAATGAGCGCTTTAAGAGCGGATGAAGTAGCAAAAGAATAAAAGAGAGCGCACTTACGGTTTCGACTTCGAATCCAACGGCGAAAGATCTTTCGAAGATGAACGGACTGCTTTGCTAAAAAAGTTTGTTGTTGTTTTTTTTTCTCGCATAATTTAAATGCAGTTATTAAAACACTTATTTTTGTTTGCACAGAAAAATAATATTAAAAAAAATTGAACATTTAGAAGCAACATACAAAAATTAACAATCTAGGCTTTGCACGGCGCTTACAGATTGCGACACTGCATACATAACCTCTCTTTTCTTGTTGCCACTGCAAGCACATTTTTTACAAGCACTTTAGCTAACATTTTTTTCTACGGTGAGGGAAAAAAACCGGTAAAAAAAAAAGGATTTAACTAAACCTATTCAAATCAAATTAGGCGGCTTCTTCACTTCCACTTTGGATACCGATTAAAAAAACAACAACAAAAAAAAGTAACTTGCGACTGGCCGTGATCGCAGGGTCCATCGGCTTATGCATTCGCGCACCAACTGCTGCGCCTAAAATTCTCGCGTGCGCCAGAAGGTACGAAATTTTAAGGGCGGCTTAATTCATAGCTCCAGACCTAATGTTCAATATTTAGCGCTCCATTTCTAGTGCCGAATCTAAATGTAGGCGAGCAGAAAATCGGCAACTAAGTGAAAGGCACACAACAACAAAAAAACTTAAATTAAAATATTTACCCTGTTCGGCACCAATTTAAGAGCAATTTCTATGCCAACGCAACTGGCATTCCAGCGAAAAAAAGGCAATAGCTCCCAACTTGCAATTCAGTTATTGAATTTTTGCTAACTTTGTTAAAACAAAAGTTTTCTTTTAAGACCCTCCCGACTTAAAATGTTATAGCAAAATTTTATTTTAAAATTATCTCTTGCCAAAATTAAATTTTTAGTTCAAGTACTTTTTGCCTTGCAATTAGAAGAAGCACGCCTGCTCCGATCGGCGCTCCAAAGAAAAAGAAAGGGGCTAGTCCTAACCTAGGCTCACGGAAGTGGTTGAGGTGGCAAAGAGAGCAAACCAATTGAGGTTCAACGAAAAACAAAAAAAAAACAAAAAATTTACCTCTATTGAACCACGACTATAGGTGGCGCTTGTATTTATTTATTTATTTATTTATAAAAATCAACAAATTTACTGTCAATAAATAATTGGTAATATTAGAAAGTAAAATAAAAATATTTATAGTATTACATTATAAGTTAAACTTAAAAGATAAGAAAGCCTAAGGGAGAGCTATACAATGACGTCTATTAATGCCTCCGACACGTTGGGGGAATTTTATTTGCCAGTTGGCCAGCTATGCCCCGATTCACAGCCAAATGTGGTCAGAGACATTATAGACCTAACAAACTAAACAAATAGCAAGTAGAAGAGAAGACTTAATTCTACTTAAGAACTAATTAGAAAAAGTAAGGTGTAGAAAGAGGAAGAGGAAAAAGAAAAATATAAGAGGGAAAGAGAGATACAAAGACAGAGAAAGAGAAAGAGGTAAATCTCCAACCCGGTGGGGGAAAATTTAAATGCCAGTCCGGCTAGCTATGCCCCGACTCACAGCAGAAGTGGTCAGAGATTTTCCCGAAGATAATTATAAAGAATAATCTTTACCGAACAGAGAGAGAGTTCTGTCGAAAGTAAATGTGAAAGATCAGTATAATTACTGCAAATGACCCGAAAACGATTGTGCAAAGCGTAATCGGTTGTGCATCTAGCCAATATGAACGGCAAATAATTCCTTGTTGGTCTACAAGGAACTGAAAAATTAAGGCGACCTAAGAGGGCAGAGGAGTCAACCTCACCGATAACTAACTTGTGGAGAAAAACTATTCCAAGAACAGTCCTACGATTTTCTAAAGATGGAAGGTTTATAAGTAATAGTCTACTTGAATACGATGGCATCAAAACATTAGGATATAGGTATACCCTTAATCTATTACTAAAGAGAAACCATCTACTACTAAATACAAAACTGAATCTACTAATAAAAATAAAGCCTTGCATTTTATTAAAAAAATAAAAATAAAAAATATAAATAAATGAAAGTCAAGTTAATATTATTTGCAACAAGCTACAGTATATATAGAGTGCCTGATGTAATTAAACATCTCATACAAAAATTGATATTCATGTATGCATTTGTTTACTGAGAAAATAAAATTATCTTTACATAAAACAAATCAGGTTATTTCAGATCGTAATTTGTGTGTATTTATTTGCTCAAATTTAAATGTGTATGACGCCTTAAGCCCCGATATTGGCATGTTTTAGTGTTTAAAGCTCATAGGCAAGCTTAAATCAGATTATATTAATTAGTTAAGCAAATCGGTGAAGATTAATTTGTAGATCTGTGAATCAACTGCCAATTTAGTTATATTTTTTACTTTTAAATGCCCATATTACCATTTAATTGATTGTATTTTTGTAGTTAACCAGTAATTGCAAGGGTATTAAAATTACTAAAAAATTTTAACAGTGCGGACCTTTTGTTAATTTAATGGATGGAGATTATTTCTTTAATCTATTGACTTTGAATTTGCTTCAGATATGCTGAGTGCAACCAAATCGCTCATGGTTTTAGGTCTATGCTTTTGCAAAATTCTCCAGACAGCATCTAACACTAAATACACATACTTCCACATATGATGCCCTTATTCCTTATACAAGTAGTAATAATTAATAATGAAGAATAAGAACTACATACATAAATCGCTTTGGACATTTCAGAATAAACCATTTTTAAATGCTTCTTCGCAATTGCTTTAACTTGCAGATAAGAATCGCATGGCCAGTCCGTCGGTTAGCTGCGAGAAAAAATCAAATCTGGTGGATGCCGTCGACGTTGCCAGCACCAGTGCTGAGGCCAAATTGAAACCGCGTTCCAGGTGAGTGGCACACGCGCGTCAACGTCAATTGAATATCTATCGTATTGACACCACACCACACCCACACACTCACCCATGTACGTATGTACACTCGTAAATATGTATATACATATATCTGGATGTGTGTGTGTGTGTGTTGTGTGCTTTTGCAGATCTCTCATACGGCGCGCTTCACGCAAGACCAAGCAGCAAATCAACAACGCATCCGATGAATGCAATTTACAGTAAATAGCCAACACAATGGGCTGGATGATTTTTTAAACGCTTAAATATAGCATATATATATACTTATATATAAATGTATTTGTATGTGTACGCGTACATTTGAATTAATATTCAAATTCAATGTCAGTTAATTGAAATACGTGTATTGTAAATGTATGTGTACTATGTATAAACAGCAGCCAATGAACCGTCTAAGCATTGTGGATTTTTACCACATAACAACTACTATATATGTATGTATATGTATGTATGTACGTATAAAACAGACAAATGTTTGTTTGTTTTTTTTTTCCTAAAATGTTTAATTATAATTGCTGAAATCAAAAGAGGTGTTAAAAAACGCGTTACATCAATTAATTTGCTCAATGGCAAGCATAATGTGTAATACTTATGTACTTGTATGTACAACACAGGCATATCTGCAACAGTATTGGTGTTTATCAATGTTTATAACAATTGTGCAATGCGATAATAATTACAAAACCTACATTTAATTAATGACTCTACCACATCGCCCCAAAACAGTTCAATTTTTTCATCTACCATAGCAATAATACAGTAATCAGTTAATTTATGTTTAAAGGCAATTCCTACACGGTGCAGAAAGCTACTTATATGGATTATTTTCCCATTATTTATGGATGATTGGTTTGGGGGTCAATCTATTTTTTAAAACATTTTCTGCCATTTCAGCATACACATTGTGAAATACTTAAGGTTCCTTGGTCCGATAAATGAATTTTCCTACTGCATGAAATTCCTTTCAATGAAGCAATGAAAATGTTGACAAGCTTGCGGCCAAGCTAAAAAAAAAAAAAAAAAAAAACAGTTCCTTTGATGTTGAAAGGGCAGGCAGAGTTTTGTTAAAAATGTCTTCTCTATTGTTGTTGTTCTTGTATACTTGATAAATTATGAAAGTTTAAAATTTCATCATTGAAAGCATTTTCAATTAAACTTAGTAATTTATTTATTTTGATCAACTATTGAGGCATTTGCTTAGATACTGCAAACTTAATATGAAGTAAACACATATTTTTTATTAAAGTATATCTAAAAAAAATGCAGAACAATAAATTCATAATTAAATAGAAAAGTTTTTGTCAAAGATTGTTGCACAATTTATTTGAGCAGCTGACCAATTTCACAATCTGTATTTGAAGAAATGATTGCACTTGAAAAATCAGCAGAAGACATTTCAAATAATAGTGAAAATAGAGCCTTGTACAACAATAGTACTATACGCTATTGGTATGCCTGTAAGTGATTGCGATTTTATTAGACTATTCCGAAATTGTTAAATGTTATTCATGCAGAGAGTGGTCCAGGAAACGGTCCAGCCTCACACGATTCTATAATTTTATAGTAAGTATTTATAATATACTCGTACAGTCTAAACAAAATTCAAATAGGAATCATGAATTTCGGTCCACTTCAGTTTACGACCAAAAAACAGAGGCCGTCATCACATCCTTAATGTTTTTATTTTTTTAATTCTCAAGTTTTTTGTGAGTCACGCGAACAGGGTTCTACGTTTAGGCACAATTTATGCATGCTGATAAAATTAATGATTTTTGAACAAAATAAGTTATTGAGGATTATACAGGGTGTATTCTTAATCTCCATAACTACGGCAAGGGCTTATCATATAGATATAGCAGTGTTACTATGAAAACTCAGCTCAATACTCTACTATATATTTATGTACTCTCGTGTTGATTTAGACGCCAAATAAACTGAGTCAACAACTTTTTGATGTGTCCAGATCACATATTAGAAATTACAAATCGTTAGAAATATCACGCGTTTTTGATTTATCTATGTATATTCAATAATATCGAACAAGATGTATTTCCACTTTGGCTTAAGTGCTGCTAGAAAATAAGATTTTTTTAAGATAATTACTGCTAGGATGGCATTAATGCAGATGTTAAAGGTACTGAATGGTAAATATGTTTGTACTGTAAAGGGATTTGTGTAAGTTGGTGCGCAACATATGTATATACATATTTAAAGGCCGATGCAAAGTGAATTGTGATGCAAAACTAAGAAACCAAAATGTACATTACTTGTATGAAGAGGGAGCGGGGACTAAAGAAAAAGTAAAAAGTAAATTTATAAAAAGTGCAATTGCAAAGTTTGCGCCAAAAAATTGTTGCATTGTTTTTGTTACGTAGTTGGAATTGTTGAGTTATGGCTAAAGAATAAGACAAGAACATACCTACATACATACTTATGTATTTCTATCTGTATAATGTAAGGCATGTTTTAGTAGCTAACAAACAAAAAGCACAAGGTTTGCTTTGTAAAGTATATTGAAATACGATTTGAAATTGTTAAGAAATGTGGTTAATGGCGCACTGTGAGAGGAACAGACGAAATTGTAAAACATAGCCCCATGAGCAGCAGTTAAATATGTATATCTAGAATAATAGCAACTATCAGTTAAAGAAATACGGGAACATATAGTCGAAAGCTACATGCAACATTAGTTGCTGGCAGTAATATCAACAGTTTTTTAAACAAGGCAACAAATGTTTTTATATTACATACATACCTATAAATGTGCGTAATTTAATTGTTCTTTATTACATATACAGACAACCACACACACACACACACTCGTACATATGTGTGTACCAAGGAGATAAAGCTCCAATAAAAACCAAAGAGCCGAAATGCTAAGACAGACAAGTAGTTTGGGTAACTCTATATCCACATATAGTACATACTACATACATGAAGAATCAAATGTAATAATGAGAAGAAACAAATAAACTAACTTACTAAATGTGTCCATTTAACTGAAGATGTTGGCTTTCAATTCTACTGGCGAATCGGACTTTTAAATGGTAAGATCCTTTCAAAGAGCAACTGGCAGCTGTGAACGTTACTACGGGAATAATATTAATTTCAGATGCAAATTCAATTATTTTTAAAGTCAATTTATTTACGCGTAATATTATTAAGAACGAAATCAATTTATAGCAGACGGCTCACCCATTTGTCATGACATTTGGCGCCTCACCCACATTGGGGTCGGCGGCTCGATAAACTAACCGCAACTTCCATTAAAAGTAACTAATGGAATTTTATTCATATTGCAAATTACATTTCGCTGCAAATTCGCTCGATCCGCAAACTGCGCTTACGTAAATGCTGTTGCATTAAAACAAAATGCGGTTGTAATTGGTTGTGCTTTATATAGAAACGCGACGTTGCCAAGTCCCATCGTTGGATGTAATTATTTAGCGCACATTTAATTTGAAATGGCAGGCATCCTTGCAAAGGCCCGCCATGTTTTTGGATTACGTATACATATGTACATATAGTACATATGTATGTATGTACCATCAACAGATTGAGATGCAAATATATGCATATCTCATCTACTGTATGTATGTACATTTTGTATGCAAGCATAGTGAATACATTTGTGACCATTGCAGAGCAATAAACAGCTTTACCTGCGCCTCCACAGACTAATTAGTAAACATTATGCCAATTTCCATGGCATTGATTTCGCATTAAAATTAAGTAGCTTATTCGATTCGCAGGAAAATGTTTGCATCAAATTATACGCGGTACATACGTATAAAAATGTTCTGCCCGCAATATGCGCAGTCAAAAGTCAATTTTGGTAATTTTTAATTTAAATGGAATTTTGAAGGCATTTTAATGAATCCATATATCAATATGAGCGCTTCTTCGATTTATTTAATTATATTTTTATGTTTTTGCTCAGAATAAAACATAGACGTTACATTACAAATGCGACCTCTGGCGGCTTTTACTCAAACTATAAATGAGAAGCAGCCGCACAGTGACACAAAAACGTGTACATCCAGTAAAATTGCGGAGTATTGGATACATTCTGCTGCTCTGGTTAAAACATATACATATTTCTTATATCAAATAGTGAAGTGGATTTCAGCACTTTCTTTACCTTAGCTGGCTAAAAATAGTTGCCTGTAGGTTTAGACTCTAAGACAATAATTTGTATATTTAATAGAATTCTTTTTTGTTTACCTTTTCTGCTTTCCGTTCTTTTAAATTTCTTTTAAATCCAAATTCTCAAATTTGTTAATAGATATTATTGCTCTTTTTTCTACATTTCGAAATTACTTCTAAGTTCTCTGTTGTATAATTTTTGTACATCGACAGCTACTCGTACTGATTTAAATATACATAAATTTCGTATTTAGCTGTTAGTTTTAATTTAATTCTGATTGTTAAAAACTGTCGATTACAAATGTATGGTTTAAAAATAATAAAAATGTATTTAAGATTTATACGAGTCGTCAGCCACTGTACATCAAACTGCGAGCGAAAGAGACAAACATAGAGTAACATGGAGTGTCATAGCAGCGAGTAATTGAGGCGGTCAGCTGCGAACAGCTGTTCAACATACAACAACTACAATTTACGGATCCGAGAGCCTGCTGTGAACAACTTATGAGAAGGACGGCTAATAACTTTAAAATGGCTTTAAAATATATAGGTTTACCTTAATTCACATATATAATTGCATCAATGCTGAACTAATAGTTGGTTCTCCATTGCAGACATTGGTGCTAACCTAACGGATCCCATGTTTCGCGGCCAGTATGGCGGTTCCAAAAAACATCAACCAGATCTGGAAATAGTTCTCCAGCGTGCGTGGCAGCAAGGAATGCAGAAGATAATAGTAACATCGGGCTCTCTAAGTGATGTTGATGAGGCCTTGGACTTGGTCGCACACGATGGTAAGTAAGTAAATTAAATATAAAGGTATTTTGAAACAACTGGAACTCTCCTGTTTTTCTAGAGCGACTATACACAACGGTTGGTTGTCATCCAACACGTTGTGACGAATTTGTGGCTGATCCGGAGCTCTACTATAATGAGCTGCGAGCCAGGATTGCGGGGAACACTGAAAAGGTTGTTGCCGTGGGAGAGTGCGGCCTTGATTTTGACCGCTTGAACTTCTGCGGAAAGGAGACGCAAATGTTTTACTTTGAGAAACAGATAAAGTTTGCGGCCGACTTCGGATTGCCCCTCTTCCTGCATATGCGAAATGCCTATACCGAATTCATGGAAATATTGGAACGCAATCGCCAGAAGTTGCAAGCTTGTGGCGGGGGCGTAGTGCACAGCTTTACAGGGACGTCGAGCGAAGCGAAAGGAATCCTGGAGTTTGGCGGCCTCTACATCGGCGTCAATGGCTGCTCGCTGAAGACAGAGGAAAATGTGAAAGTGGTGCGGGAGCTGCCTAACGAACGCATTCTTCTCGAGACTGACTGTCCCTGGTGTGGGATACGACCATCACATGCCAGCCACAAATATGTCGCCACAATGTTCCCAACAGTCAAGAAAAAGGAGAAATGGACCGCCGACACTCTGATTGATGGACGCTGTGAGCCGTGCCAGATTAGTCAAGTGCTCGAGGCCGTCGCCGGCATTAAACGGGAGCCAATAGACAAACTGGCAGATATTTATTACCAGAATACATTGAATCTGTTCTTCAGTCGAAAGCAGAGCTCGCAATGATAAATAAAAGAGATTGCATTTACATTTAATGCGTTTACATTTATTTTATTACCAAAATTCTTACTGTTTATCTAAATGCAAATGAATTGAAAAATACGCACTAGATCTTTGTTATTGCAATTAACTCACAGAAACACATTAAGATTAACATGTAGATTTGTAAATAATTGTTGCATACCATTACTAAGTCTGGCTACATTTTTAATCAATTTTGTATGCCGCCTGTGCGTGTACGTCGTGTGTGTAGAGTTTATCGCCAAAAAATATATACGAGTATGCCTCAAATTTATGTTTCATTTGTAATTTATACGCTTACAGAATTTACACACAATCATCAAAAATCTCAAACACATGTGTATGTGTTTTTGTATATACGAGTATGCTAATGATGTTTATAGTTTAGTTATTGCCATTTTGATTACATGTTTCCTTTGCCGTTACAAGCGCTTGAGTCTCTCCAAAAAAAATGATGCCATACTTGTAGATAATGCGAATGAAGCTTTCTGTAGCGCCAGTTGTTTGTTCGAGTTTGAAGCCCTAAGAAGCATTTTATGTACTGTGTATAGGTTAGTTAGTTAACTACGTTACAACGCGTTCATTTATCCGTTATATGTATATATAAATGTTAGAAATTGTAATAATTTGTTTTTTTTTTATTTATATAAATGCTATCAACAGTAAGTGGTATGTGTTTAAATATTGGGGCGTTGCAAAAGTGCATTAAAACCAAAGTAAATGTTTGATTTGAACATTTTTAAAACTACTCGTCTGTTGAACTGATATGAACGAAAATGATATTGGTATATTACATATGGGTGGTTGCTAATTCGAAAAATTGCTCTCTAACCTAATCACTTAGTTTGCATTTGAAATGACAATTTTTGTGTTGTAATAAAAGGATCAGTCCGATGGAAATGTTAATGTTATTTAGGTATTCCTCTTGATATGAACATATTTATATTGGGGTACTACGGAAATGCGAAGAAGCAATGCAGTTAATTAACGGCATCTCATATTTAAGTTCATCGCAAAAACGCAGTCAACGTTAATATCAGTTACGGTCTACGTGATGATACATATACTATATTTTTAATGGTATTATTTGATTATTGGAAAAATGCATTGTTTCGTGTTTCTTTTGTCAAATTCTAATTGACCAGTTGTTGCCTTTATAAAACGAAAACGAAAGATTCAACAAATAACACAAATTGAATACACATTTTTAAAATTATTTGGGCATCATATTAGTTTCAGTTTATTTTTAAATCATAGAGATATTTACATAAACAAAGTTATATAAGAAAAAATTATAAATATTGGCATATGATTATATAAAAGTAATATTTAATAAAGGACAAAAGTAAATGTAACTATCCGTAAATTCGAGTTCAAATTTCTAACATAAATAATGCGACAGCAAAAATTGAAATAATCAAGAAAGTAACATTTAGCATTTCCGATTGCCTTCAATGTTCTCCCATTTCGGGTATATTTTTTCATTCAGATAAAAACTAATAAAGAAAAATTAAACTATATCGAAAATCGAAGAGTCCTTTTGCTTCACATTCGGCTCTGATTTTGTTTCGTTTCGGTTGCTTAATACGCTCACAAACGAATTCAATTATCGGTTTATTGACCTTAATGGGCGTTTTAAAATATAGCCTATAGGTGTGTTAAATATGTACTTGTATATCATGTAATCTGTTATTTTTCATGTGTTGGGTATATATGTATGTATCTGTATTTTATATGTTTTAGATCTAATTTTATGCATTATACGAGTTCTTAGTTTCAAACTAAACTCTGTAGCCTGCAGCTGGCAGGTTTAATATTCAATGTATCTTGGGCGCACTGCGATCGTTAATCTTCTGGTTCCGTTTCAAGGTGGCGCCCCGTTTTATTTGATCCATCAATGATTCATGACAAATACGCGGATCCGGCTGTAAATGTAAAGCGAACGATATTAGTGTTGACGATCAAGCAAACGGCTTATAGAAAAAAAGTTAACGCGTTTAACTAAAGCAGTTAATTCCAGACACCTAGAACTCTCTGTTGGAAGTTAGGAGCGTGGCTGTGAGTTTTGAGCAAGACATAGACACAGTTAATTGTTTAGGCCAATACAACAATGGAACAAAACATGAACGGAACAATCAAACAAACAATACCTTAACATTGCTCATCACAGTTGGCTGTGGCTGTCACAATGTTGGCGGGATAGGTGATGGGTGTTGGTGTACGGTATTGTGCACTGGGACGCGATAGTTTTTGTGGATCTTGATACATCTAGACAGACAGCACAACAACATTATGCACATATGCACATAATATGGCATAATAAATATTGTTTTCTTTTTTGTTTTGGGGGTGAATATGTTTCAACACATCTCTTCGAACTTACCAAAGCTTTGCTATTTATGAGATTTCGCACGGCAAATGCACGTCCAGACATGCCCTGCTTGGCCAATTTCGCATTGAGATTCTCGAGGAATTCGGCCTTTGTCTTGGCGCGTATACTGCCAGTCTTTTCAATATTTGTGCTCGTGGCATAGTCTATATATGCGTTTAAGTCGTTTCGTGGTGCAAAATAAAAACATATGTGTGGAAGAAAACAAGCAAAAATTGTTTGACAATGTTTAAATATTGTGCAGCTTTTTCAATATCATTGTTGTTGATTGTTGAGTAAAACGAAAAAAATGAAGCATCTCAATTAAACATAATGCAATATTATTTCAAACAATATCAAAACTTGGCAGCAAATGCCACAAAAACGCATTTCGGTAAAACCTAAAAAAAAGTCTTAAATGATAATACAAAGCGTTGAAAACATAATTAAATATAAATGTTGTCACAGCTACTTATGTACATATAGAAGTAGATCAAAGTGCTCTGATGATGATTGACAAGATCGGTATGAGGGTTAACAGAGTATGAAAGATTGAAAGAGTAAGAGAGTTGATGGTTTTTGCGACAAATCTTCACTTGCACGAAACGCAGCACATGTTGTTGACAGACGCACATTGGACGCAGCTAATTTGTTTTCATTATATAAGTATTTAATTAGATATTTTTAATACAAAAAAATATACGAAACATAAGCAACATGCAATTGTAATTTTAATTTGGCGGCGCGCATTAATTTTAAGGAAACAAAACGATGAATTTTTGAATTGAATCAATCAGCAGATTAAGAAGATGAAAAAAGAAACTATAACAACAACAAATAAACTGCGTATTCATTCTTGCAATTAGAATAAATCAAATCAAATCAAATCGAATCAAATGCGCGCTCACTTGAATGATGAACATGGGTGCTGTTGTTGGCATTGTGGCTGGCATAATAAGTCGAGTTGCCGCCATTGCTGCTGCTGTTGCTGTTGCTATTGGAGCCACCAACATCGCGATAATAATGCTGTTGCTGCTGCTGTTGTTGCTGCAGATGGTGCTGTTGTTGGTGATAGTGCTGCTGAGCAGCACCACGAGCCGTGGTGCCATAAATGCTGGCCAAGGACGCGGGCGAGCCGCAGGTGGGCGAGGCAGCAGGCGAATGAAACTTGACTGCAGTCGTTTGTATAAATGGATTTGTCGAAACAAAAATCTTTTGCTGCACGCTGGAATGCCGTGACGGTATGGGCGGTTGCCTCTGCTGCTGCTGCTGTTGTTGTTGCTGTTGCTCGCGCAATTTGTGTTGCTGCTGCTGTTGCTGCTGTTGTTGCTGTGGCAACGGCAGTTGGGGCCGCTGATTAGGAGCACCGCCATTGCCTATGCCTGTTGGCTGTTGATATTGTTGCTGTTGTTGTTGTTGCTGTAAACGTTGCTGTTGTAATATCGACTTGGGTAGCGTGGCTGTGGACGAAGCTGCAGCAAAGGCAGCCAAATGCTGCGCATTGTTATGAGCACTGCCTGAGTTAATACCGATGTGAGGGCGTGCCATTTTCTTGGGCATGGTTGCTGAAGCGCCTGCAGCATAAATGGGCGGCGGTGGCGGATCTTCGAGCGGCGGTGGGCAAGTATAGTGCTGTTGCTGTTGCTGCTGTTGCTGCAGCTGTTGCTGCTGATGTTGCTGCTGTTGTTGCTGTGCTTGTCGCATGTTCGCTGATTGCGCAGCTGCTGAATTTTTGGTAAACGAATTTGAATAGTTGCCAAAATCTTTGCTGTTTGCTGTAACATTCGAGCTTGCGGCATTTTGTGGCGCATGTGGTGGCTGATAGTGAGTGATGTGTGCTGCTGCTGCTGCTGCTGCCGCCGTTGTTGTTGTTGATGAAGTTGAGAATGAACTGACTTTAGAGAGCAACGATGAGGTGGATGATGATAGCGGAAAGTGTGGCAAAGCGTTAAAGTTAGTAGTAGTGTTGGATGAAGATGAGGCGGAAGTTGGTGTTAGATTACTGGACGAAGTAGAAGAAGAAGCATTGCTTGTGGCCAACACATGTGATGATAAATTTGTTGATGAGGTGCTAAAACTACCATAAATTCTATGCTGCTGCTGTGCAGTTTTCTGTTCTGATTTACCGTCGTAGTTTTGCTGCTGTTGCGATTGCGAACTGCCGCGCATGTAGATAGACTCATTAGGCTGCATCTGCATCTGTTGCTGGTGATGATAGTGCCCTGTGTTGCCATAAATGCCGTCAGCAGCATGCTGTTGCTGTTGTTGTTGCTGGTGCTGCTGCTGCTGCTTGCTATTGAGTCGTGCATTCAGTTGTGCTATTAAATTTGGATTCGCTTTTGGTTGTGTTGGTGGCAGTGGATGATGGGCAGCATGTCCGTTCGGACCCGGGCTGCTGGTCCGAAAACTAGACATGCTGTTCACGAGCTTGGGCTGCGCATATATGCCGCCCCCAGCGCCGGGTGATGAGGTGCGGAACGTCTGTGCAAATGAGAAATAAGCCAGAAATTAAAATCGACCAATTGCGTAGAGAGTAGAGAGTCAGGTGAGATGTGCATATTATGTGATTAAGTTAATGGTTTTAGTACAATAAGCTTATGGCATTAAAACTAAGCTGATGAACGACTCTAATGGGCAATGTAAGGTACACATAAGCATTTAGTTTGTTCAACTAGCGGCAACGTTCAATTAGTATGCAAAGCTAATCCGTTATGATGCGACGGCGACGACGACGCTGGTTAGGACGCTGGTTAGTTCGGTTTAGTAGATCACACGACGTTCACAAAGTCGAGCACTTACGGCGCTGCTGCTATCGTATTGGGGGGCAGTGGCAAGCTCATTGCCTGATGCCTGCTGTGGCGCCAAATAAAACTCATGCGGGTGATGCTGCAATTGTTGTTGTTGTTGTTGTTGCTCTTGTTGCTGATGAAAGTGATTCTGTGATTGCAAAAAGCATTGCTGTTGCTGTTGCTGTTGCTGCTGATGTTGCTGCAGAGAATTAAGCGGCGGTAGGGGCGGTGGCAAGTGCTTTTGGCCATTGGTCAGCGCATGAGAATACGCATGTACCTCCATGTAGGGATTATAGTAAGCTTCATAGTCTGTATCGTCGTTGCCTAGCGATTGCTGATGCTGTTGCTGTGGCGCATATGGCAAATGGGAAGTGTGTGTTAATAGGCGTACGGTCTTTATTATTCGATATGCATTCGATATGTACGAGTATTTGTTGATAACAAAAGCAAGTATTAAATGAAATTTAGTAAATTATACAAATTAGCAGTGTGAACGCAAATATACATATGTAAGCACACGCAGCTATGAAGTTCAGTAGTTTAATGCGATATTTTGGCAAACTCGGTGGATGAAACTATTACTGACTAAAGATGCTGAAAAAATCTATAATCTTTGCTTTTAATTAAGGCTGTCCCAGGACGTCTCTCAATACAGATATGTTCTTAAATTTGCTAAACTTTAATACAAATATTAGCAATTAATTTGCTTTTGACTATCTATTAAAGATGATTGTTTCAAAATTTTAAAGCATGTTTCCATCTTAATTTGATTCCATTGTTTCGCTACTGAAGAAGATTTTTGTTATACAACAGCAAATCCTTTTGACTATAATATTTCTTTAGCAAATATAAAAAATATTGTAATAGAGAAAAGAAAGGTATGCATAGATGTTTGATTTGTCGAATTATTGTTGAATTCTAATTAATAATTATTCAAATTCACGATTTAATGTATTTGTATATAACATTTTATCTTTAAAAAGATAAATAGAGCTAAGAAGTTATGTTCGTATGCGCTAAAGCTATATATCCTTATCCTCTATGCCCTACAATAGTGAGCCTATGGCAACAACAAGGGTGATACGTATTCTGGTTTCCTTTATAGAGGTCCATAAAGTGAATTCCTTTGAGTTAAAAAAATCGATCAAGTTCGTTATATTATTGGTTTATTGGGAACAGCGAAGATTCCCAATTAGTTATGGCACGCGACTTCTTTCATGTGGCTGCCTGGTCTAGCTTCGTAGCAGCGTATCTTGGTAGCCTATTTATCCAGGACCTTGGGGACGCTTTCTGGTACTATCTCACGCAAATGTCTTTCTCGATATTCGCCTTAACGGCCTGAAACATTAATGAATTACCCCTACTTCTGTTTTTACACGGTAGATTGGTTACATTGATCATGATGATGCAAAAATAGGTGATTGGTTCGTTATCTCTAAAGAAATATATATGAAATTTTTACTATAATTTTCAAACCGTGTTATATCAAAATCGTTTAGAAAATATCGTGTAAATATAGAATTAGGTGAATTCGCATAACATCAGTTCTTCAACTAAGGCCGCTGATAGATTACCGATTACCGAACTGGAACTTGAGAAGAGATCGATTGTGGCATGGCACACCATCCTGCTGCAACCAAAGAGCTCTCATTGTCAAAATAACATGGGGTAAAACTAAGACTCTATGCCCCTGTATATTCTTAATCTTTTTTGTAAAGGCTACAAAAATCTCTTCCCGACACTCCTAAATTAGGATTTTTAGCTAAACTGAGCCTAGAGAGATGGATTTCTCTCTTCTCCTTAAATGATCTGTTGATATTATTGTTCCCCCGATTCGCCAAAGTATCACATCGTGCAACGTGCGCGCCCTCACCTGCAGAGTCGGCGGTTGTTGCTGGTGTTGCTGGTGCTGATGCTGCTGATGCATGCGTCGCAAGGCAACCGGTGAGGCGGGCTGATGCCGCATGGCCGCCAAGGCACGCACCGTCTCCGACACCTTCAGCGCCGAACTGGGCATTGAAGCTGGCGGCGAGTTGGGCGTGGATTGTGTGGAGCGCAGAGCGTCGAGCAGATACGCTGGAGGTGGTGGTAGGTTTTCGATTGAATTTGTCATTGCGTTCTGTTGTTGGTGTTGCAACAAATTGGTTGCTGAGCTGTGGCTATGTGGCTGTTGTTGCTGCTGCTGCTGCTGTTGTTGTTGTTGCAGCTATATCAAATAATTAAATTATAAGTGCAAAATAGGCGAAAGTGTACAAAACAAAACAAAAATAAAGGAAAAACCAAACATGAAACTGAATTAAAGTGTTCAACAGTGCCGAAGGTTTCCTTCCCTACACACACACACACACACACATGTGTACATGAGCACAGGACACTCGCGATTCTTGTAATCTAATTTAGCAACTAACTTAATTTATTAGCCAACTCTTTTATGCATATCACAGTTGGCAAGCTAACGTAACTTACCCCAACCGTAGCATTGGGACTGGGGGTCACCGACGAGCTGCGCCGCACCGGGGGTGGAGGTTTCGCCTGATTGACCGATGAACGACGTGCGATGCGCGTGGAACCACCTCCGGCTCCTCCTCCTCCTCCTGGGGAATAGCAGAAAACTTGATTAGCATGTCGTTAAAAAATGTGGTGCGAGCATTAAGTTAATTACAGTGTTATGTACAGATAGTATTACACACTTTTTACATATGTATATAGTATGTATGTAGTATGGCTAAGATTTCGGTTAGAACGCACACAAAACACTGGACACCATTATACCAAGAAAAAAACAAAAAAAAAAACAAAAAAAAAATTGATCAATGTTTGCGCGTGTTATCTCATGAATTCGAATCGATAGTTGGTCAGTTGGTGGTCAGTCACAACATTGCAGAGTTGCAGTTGCCAACTACAGCTATATATGTGATATACGAGTACAATTATATAGTAGTAACCATCATATTTGAATGTTAATGTAAAGCAATTGCAGTTAGACGCAGTGATGAGCACAGTTTTTGTTTGTGTAATGGTAGTTAAGACGTTGTTTTATGAGAATGCGTGATATGGAGTTGAGTTATATGTTTATAGACAAGGGACAACCAGCGAGGAATTGGGGTATTATGTTTGCAAGCGAATACATTTGGCAAAGCCAAAGCAGATGTTATAAAACCAAAGCCAATCTAAAAGCAAAGATAGGGAAGTTGTTATGTGTATCGGGAACAAAAACGAGGATAACAAATCAAAAGTTAAACAAACAAAAACGCACCCGACAGGGATGCCGGCCTCGGCGTTATGCAGGGTTTGATGGGATTGGACGCCGAGACCGAATTTGGAGCTGCATGGCCGCACATGGTAAATGAATTGGAATTTGGTAAAGCTGTTGTCGATGTTGCTGCTATTGGTGTTGCTGTTGCTGTTGTCGTTTGCGATGGTTTGGTGATGGAATAGGAGTTGGTGGCAGGCGCAGGCGCAAAGGCATTGGGCAACGTTGTAGGAGCAAGCGTAGTTACAGATAATGCTGATGTTGTTGATGTTGTGGATGACAGTAATGGTGATGAGGCTGAGGCTGAGGCTGATGATGGCAATGACAATGTGGCCCGCGGGTTTGATAATGATAATGACGTGGCTGAGGCTGTGGCTATTTGCATGTTTATCTTTTTGTATGGAGCATGATTTGATGTTGGTTTTGTTGTTGTTGTGGTTGTGGCGGTTGTTTGATTTTGGGTTAGCATTCTATGATTTTGATAATGATGCGTTGTTTGCTGTGGAGCCATGCTTATGGTTGCAGATGCAATATCAATACGTTTATTAGTGACATTACAGTTGGTTGTTGTTGTTGTTGATGATGATGATGTTGTTGTTGTTGTTGTAGCTGTTGTTGTTGTTGTTTGGGGCGACTGTTGTGAGTGTGTTTGTTGTTGTTGCCGCTGCTGCTGCTGCTGCTGCATTTGTGGGTTATTGTTAGCTTGCAACTGCTGTTGCACTTGTTGTTGTTGGTTACTCTGTTGCTGCTGCTGCTGTTGTTGTTGCTGCTGCTGCTGCTGCTGCTGCTGTAACAGCAACTGCTGCTGCACTTTCTGCTTTTGTTTGCGTATCTTAGCATCTAAATCGGCTTTGAAATCTGATTTACTAGCCACTATTGGCTTGCCTGGCAACGCTGGCGGTATCAACTGTTGACCCTGCCCCTGACCCAGGCCCTGACCCTGGCCATTAAAAATGCTCAAACTGGGCTTTGGCGGCAGCTTTCGCCTTATTGGCGCTCCGCCATCACCACCAACTATCGCAGATTGCTGCTCCTGCTGAAGCTCTAAACTAGCCTTATCCGTACCTCTGTCCACGTGGAGCGATCGCTGCGGACTCGCCCGTCCCAAAAGCTGAAGCTGCTGCTCGCTGGAGGCACGAAACGAGGAGAGTCGCTGTTTTGCGGGCGCCACCGTTGCTGTGTGCGGCACACTGACGGCCGAATCTGGGGATTCTGGAGAGCCGGCCAGGTTTGCCGGAAGCTGTTGCAACTCACGCATCTCATGCAACTGCAACTGCTGGGGATCTTTGGTGCGCAGCACCACAATCTCTGAATTCTGTTTGACAAACTCAATATCTGGGGTGTTCGGTATTTGATGATCAAAGATGACAACAACAGCGCTGCCGCTGTCGCTGCCATTATCCACATATGCGTGCCGGGGCGTGCACAGACTGTCCGACGCCAGGGAGATGCTGTCGGCAGCAACAATGCCGCCGCCGCCGCCGCCATAGAGCGACCGGCCTTCACCACCGGCGCCACCATTGTAGGGATCATCTCGAGTGGAGGCGACAAAATGCGCAAAAGTGGGATTCTCATAGCCGGCGCTCACCATGCCGCCCGCCAGCGAACTCGTCTCGCTCACATAGCAGCGACTCAGCTCCGAATCGCTGGCATAATTGACACTGCCACTCTCTCCGCCGCCTCCGTGGTTCCCACTTAAATGCAGACGCGACATGCCCTCCAGATTGCTCTCTTCGACGGCCAGCTCATCGGACGTGGTGTCGGATATGTCGGTGCCACAGCCACTGGAATTGGTTTGATGGCTGCTCGCGCAATACTCGACAATTGCATTGGCAGCGGCCTGAAGGAGTTGGGTGCCGGCAAAGGGTTCGCTGTTGTTGTTGGAGCCGTTCTCACTACTGCTGCTGCCGAGGCTGTTGTCATTGTTGTTGCTGCTGTTGACAGTTGCTGTTGTTGCTATTGTGTCGTTGCTGTTGCTGTTACTGTTGCTGCTGCGCTGCTTGCAACTGCCCTTGCCCTCATCCATCTCACGTTGGAAAGAGTCTAATTCGCCAATTAAATTATTTAGAGCTTGTATTGAGTCTTCAAAGGATTTATCTATATTTAATAAAAATCATTTGGTTGTTGTTGTTGTTGTTGTTGTTGTGGTTTGTATTGATATTGGTCGTGTTGCAGTTGTAGTTGTGGTGCATTTTTGTATTATTATTATTATTGTTATTGTTATTGGTGGTGTGCAGAGTTTGTATATACAAGTTGATGATAGAGATGGGCAAAGAAATCAAGGCGAAAAGGCGCCATTTGTTTGTTCAATTTCCAGGATAAGAAAATTGGCGGTTGAAAAGGTTTTCGTAGCATTATAGTTGTTGTTGTTGTTGATTGGTGGTTGGTGTGTACGTGTTTGTTTTTTATGGAGTAAACAATTGGTTGTTGGTTTTGTTTGTTTTTTTTTTTTTTGTCAAGGATACACAATCAAACAAAAAGAGAGAGAGAAAAAAGGAGAACAAAACATAGAAAAACGGGTTAAAAATATTGACAAAATTGCAAAACAAGACGGGGAAAGGGCTGGGGCGGGGATGGGGGGCTAAAAATCATTTCAAACGGGTCAAATAGAATCAAATAACAATTGAATGGGTTTAACTAGATGTGCATGGGGTTGTGGGATCTATTTTATTGCATGAGTTGCTGTGCATAAAGATATTAACTATTCGCAGCGGTTGCTCTTTCTTTTCGGTACTTACCCATTTCCTGTTGCTCGACGGCGCGCGTCTCCTCCAAACGCCGCACGCCGTTGTCCAGGAGGACGGGGGGACGCGAAGGGGCGGCTGCTGAAGGCGTTGCTACCGCAGCGGCGGCGACGGCCGCAGCCTGCTTCTCAAACATAGACGCCTTCTGTAGGACCGAAGCACGTGATCTCTCATCGTTCTCCACAATGCTGGCGTTTTCTGTATCGGGGGCATAGGAGACCGAAGTAGTCTGATGATTCTCATTGGCTTGTGGTGCGATAGATGCTGCTGTTACTACAGAAGCGGTGTTAGGGTGGCTGTTGTGTGGTGCAATAGTTGTTGTTTGAGCCTCCAACTCGGTTATTTTCAGCACATCGCTGGCCAAGGACGAGGGCGGTGTCGGCGAGCTGACGTTGTACGCAAAGCCCAGGCCAGTCATGCCACTCGCTACGCTGCCGCCACTCGGAGTACCTGCAGCAGTGGACGTGGGTGAGTTGGTTAGCAGTGGCGAGTAATGATTCTGTGGCGTGGAACTGCCACTAGATGGTGTAGTTGTGTGCCCGCCCACAAGTGATGTAGCAACGGCCGAGTCGATGGAAGGATGAGAGTGCAGTGAAGCCGTGTTTGAGGACACCGACGACGAGGATATGGAATGGGAGCGTGTGGCGATGTGTGGTGCATGATTCATGTGCTGTTGCTGCAGTAGCTGATGCTGCTGCTGTTGCTGCTGCAGCGAACCCGTCGACGAGTCATTCGAGTGCTGTGAGCAAATGGAATCAATGGATGTTTGCTGTTGCAATGCCGCCGGCTTGGGACAGTTGTTGGTGCCTGGTGTTTGTGCAGTGCAGGATGTTGCTTGCTGGGTTTGCTGCAGCTGTTGTTGCTGGTTAGTAAGTTTCAAAGCCGCCATGTTGGCCAGTTCGGACATATTAACATAGGTAGGCGGGATGGGTGGTGGTTGTTGTTGCTGCTGCTGCTGCTGCTGTTGCTGTTGGTATTGTTGCTGCTGTTGTTGTTGCTGAGCATGATGTGCTGCGGACAGCTCTGTTTCATATTAACGTGTACATTGACATAAAAGCATGCGCAAATTGTTGGTTTGTTTGGTTGTTGGAGCGTGCGTGGGTGAATATATATGGAAAGAGTAGCACAACGATCGGATTAGTAAGATATCATGGATTTAAGCATTAATTTGAACGCCTGCACGCTAGTGCAGATTACAACACACACACACACGCACACACAGACACAGACAGACAGTCAAGAGACAGCGTTAGACCATGGCAGACACTACCATACCTTTCGTGATATGAGCCGGAATCGGTGATGGGCACTGACGCTGCAACAGATTGCCGCTATTCTGGCGATGATTACTGTTAGCCGACAACGGGCGCTCTAACGAGGAGCAGCGCTGAAATGAAGATCCAAATGGAGACTTTAGTATTTTGTTTTTAAAATTAAAAAAATGTTGTATCTGAGCAGACTGGCGGGAAAGACGTTTGATGAGGCGACGACGCTGAGACTACGACTGGCGTATTGGGTGTTTGGGAGCGCATGCAAATGAGCGCGCAACGGGCTATGACAAGGACACGGGTGGCCAACTAAGCAACTTACCACATGTGCTGGTTTCTAAAGATTTGCCGACCACACACAGCAACAGTTAACAAATAGAAGAAATATCCTTAATAACTATGATTTAAGTTAGGTTTAGACGAAGCTTTAAAGTCATGATAACTATGAGAGAGAGAGAGAGAATGAGAATGTTTTTATCTCAAAATCCCTCAGTTTCGAACTCACATTCAAGCCATCTCTTTACCTATTTATCAAGGAGTTAATATATTTTTTGTATTTATTTATTTCTTTTTAACTTTTCAAATCTGTTGCTGAATTTAAAGCTTCGCCTATACCTTGTAGTATATCATATTTGTGATTACCCCATGGCATATACTTACAACTGGCAATGGTGGGCGACTGAGCGAGGCGGCTGGCGACTTTTGTGGAACGGGTGTGTTCTGACCGGAGCCGCCATTTACGTTACTGCCGCTCCCGGGGACGGTGGAGCTAACCTCGTGTATGGTCTCCGGATTTTGAAAGGTGTACACCGTCAACGGTGGACGCTGATGACCCTTCTCGTAGGCTGTGGAAATTGTGTGCGGACGATCCGCTGTGGGCGGCAGTGTGTCCACAACATCCTGGGAATGTGGGGGCCAGGTGGAGACAGCGTGTGTTTGACTCGTTGCAGTGGAAGCCTGTTTGATAGTTGGAAATATGATTATTAATGATTCGATTCGAAGTAAAAATATTCAACGAATAGGAAAACTAAGGTTGAAATTTTGGGAAAATTAAAGAAAATCAAATGAAAACCTGTGTTGTTAGCGCTGGCGATGAGCAAAAGCCACTATCACTGGATTCACCAGGTTTCAAGCGTATTGCGGGCGTTACAAACTAAAAAAAAATATATATATATACAAATAAGTAACAAACGATGATTAAACCAACAAAACAGAGAGTACAACAAAAACTGCAAAAACAGTTAGTTACACATAAATAATCACAAACACGCACACACTCTGTTATTCTAAACGCACCTGAGATAGCGATCGCTGATAGTGATGATGACCCGGAGAATTGCTAGAACCACTGCTGTTCATGGAGCTGATGGAGCAAACGGAACTCTTGCGCGAGCCCAGCGAGTTGGAACAACCGCCGCCCTGTGAGCCCGAACCGCCGCTGGGCGACTCCGGGTACAGATTAATGCTGGCCTTGGCATCATGTATGAGCTCCTCAGATGCCTGGGGCAATACGTTGGGATCCTTTGTTACCAAGGCAATTGACTGCATAGCCTCCTGTGAATTAAAAGAAATAAGATGGCCAGATAGTTATTGAATTGAAATTTGTATTAATTGTACATGAATTTCATGAGAATGGAATTGGAAGGCGGCAATGCATTTAGTGTAAACGTATGTACCTGCAAGTGTCCGAGCTCGGACATCACCTCGCACTCCTCGTGCACCACCGGCTGCAGCATGTGAACGAAGCTGCAGTATCGTAGTCGCTCCTCTACCATGGCCGCGCGGAGGGACTTCTTCTCGACCTCCTCGAGCTCGGCACGTCGCAGGGTGACATCCTGCATGTGTGAGTCCATCAGCGATTGCATGCCATCTGTTTGACCCTTGCGGGCCTTCTTTTGCAGTCGCAGAGTGTCGCTGGAGCGTTTCTTGAGTTCGGTGCGACAGCGTTTATACTCTTTGGCATGATCCTTGTCAATGGTGGCCACTGTGCGTTTCCAGTCTTCGATTTTCTCCTGAAAAACAGAATGCAAATATTAATCAGTGACACCTCTGATACTGTTCCTTCCTGTCCCTGTGCTTACCTGCAGCGGCTGCACCAGGCAATCCATAATTGCAGTCGTGAATGTCTTGAGGCGCGTCTCGACCGCCTTGTGTCGCAGGCAGACACGTGTCAGTGCTGTTCCAATTTCCTTCGATGCACCTGTAATTGAATTGGGAAGGGGGATTGTTATTAAATGTGCACCATTGAAAGGATGCCGATCTGATAGCCGGAAATGTTTAGTTCAGCATGCCATGGCCATGGCATAACAGCCAATATGCTGTGCCGCACGATGGCATTGCAACGAAATATGCCCCCAATTTGCACGCCATGTTGTCTACTCTGGCATGGCCTGGCGAACGTTCGCTGCTTCAATTTGGTGCTGCCTCATTTTTGTTTGGGGCGCAGCGTTGCATGCAACACGATTTATGCGCCCGGTCAACACCAAGCCGGTTGGTCGGCCGCTCGCTCTCGTGTGTGCCCATTATGCCAAAGGCAAAAAGAAGCTCTGGCGGCCTGCCTTTGTATAGCATATACGTGTATCCATGTGCCCCCTCAGAGGGGGAACTATGTGGACAATGTTATGAAAAGATTTTATGCATATGCACTGTGGGAGGAATAACTGTTCTATTTAGTTATGGAACTATGAGCATTACTCTCGGGATAATAGGAAGGAGCACCAACATGATTTCGAGACTTTATATTGCAGATAATAACCAACACTAACTTTGTTAAAACAATTTTCTAAATAGTCAAACGCTATTCAACTACTTATTGGATTAAGATCTCACCAAGTGTGATTTTTGCACCGACTGGTTCTATGGCAGCTACATTAAATAATGAGGCTAGTTATGGTTTCAGATAAGCTTTATGTGCCTATTAATTAGACAAGTCTACGTATCAAGTTTGGTGTCCCTAGCTTTAATGGTTCAAAAGTTCTCGGTGTTCATACAGACAAACAGACGCGCCTATCTATATCGATTTGCCCTACCTACCTATAAGATGGTGCTTGCCGTGTTGCCTGTTACATACAACTAGAATTTCTAGTATACCCTTTCACACTTATCACTTTCCTTTTACAAATGATGTTCTGAATATGTTAACTAATCGCTTTCAACTTGGGGATATTACGCAGAAATATTTTATCTCTTCCCACTGTGGCATGCAACAAAATCCATTAGCACACGCCTCTGGCTACTAATTATGTATGCGTGCGTGTGCAACTCAATCGGCAAACTAATACTAATCAGCTTAACATGATGCCGCATCTTTATTCATTGGTCATGCGCCTTAAGTGAAATGTAATTAACGCGAAATTATTTATTGAATGTATGACGAGACCTCCAACCACACGTTCTCCATAGCTTAGTTGTATAAGACTATTAACTTATTGATATTTCGGCCTAGGCTACAATTACTCGTCATCTGCAAACTTGGCAGCCGAATTAGGACTTCAATTAGCTGCACATAAGCCCAAAAGGGCTGCACACACACACACACACACAAAAGAAAACTACTCCATAAAAGTGCACTAAAAACACAATATATATATAAAAAACACTTTACTGCCGCCTTTATGGCCCACATGCATTGTTATGTGCGCACGAATGTCTGCGTGTTGGCCGTCCAAATCCAAGTTAATTGAATAAAAGATACCGAATTTGTAGGCAGTAACCGACACCCTGAACGATCCCACCGACCGTACCCCCCGCCCGGTGAAAATACACATGTGCAAATGATTGAGTTACACCCTCGTTCTTGAGCTCGTTGAGCACGGCCAGCGCAAAGGACAACAATTGACACTTGTGCTCCTTTGTGAGTGGGTGTGTGGCAAGCCGTTAAGGCAAACAGCTAGGCTAAGTAACCACTAAAACTAATGAAACCATTTAGTAAGTGCAAAGTACAGTTCTTGACATATCTAGAATTGCAGCCAGTGGCCAGGCACGAGCCACGAGGGTGGCTGCTGCCCGAAACCCGCATTTGCACTTAATCGCAGGACATGTGCAAACGCAGACATCCAAAATAAATCAATAAATGCTAATGTGCAGAGGTGCAGAGTGGGGATGGAAAGTGGTCTGCGAGTACGTTCAGTTACAAAAGTTGTTCGTCCCCCATTGCTCTGTATGGTTTTTACAAAATGTAAATTTCAAATTGAAAAGTTTTTAAAGAGTTTCAAAAGCCCAGGGGCAAACTGAAAACACATTCTAAAGATAGACCTCACTAAAAACCATTTAATCTTTTACACAAATCCGCAATGTTCCAAGTAGGAATTAAAGTTTTGCAAATAATAATAATACAATTAGAAATGTTCGACCAATGATTAAGTTCTTTTTGTTTCCTAAAAGCCAATTGAAGTAAATTTAGACTATAAAATGATCTTCTTTCATAGTTAATATGTATTTAATGCAAGTAACATCATTTTGCTTTGCATTTCTCTTCCTAAATAGTGTAAAAAACAAATCATTTTAAAAATTAAACTAAAGCTGTGAAAAATGTTAGCCAGAAGTGCTTTATAAATAAATCTGGTCAGTGTTCTTCGAGCTCTTCATTTCTCACTCCCTTGAAGCAAAAAATCAACAACCGCCACTAGTCGCCAGCTAGCCCCCAGGAAAATAAACTCACAACACTAGCCGTCTAGGTACACATTGCATAACCCAACATTGGGGCAGAGCATAGCACTCGCTGACTAGTCAGCCAACCAGCTAGCTGATAAATAAATAACAAGTAAAAAAGCTAAAGTCGGGTGTCCCGACTTTGAAATACTCTGTACATATGTTTACAATAATTATAGAAAATAAAAAAATTAAGAAAATAAAAAAAAAAAATTGATCGATTTTACCTCTCTCGGTATTCGAACTCACGTAAAGGGTGTATAATTGCACATTTACATAGCAATTGCGTCTGTGTGAGTGTATGTATGCCTATGCGCATCAATTCGTGTCTGTGTAAGCATTTTCGCAGTCAACCAAACAGCAACATCAACAACAGCCGCGGGCAGCGCTTGAGCAGCGCTGCAGCAGCGCTGCATCAGCAAATATATTTATGGCTATAACTTCTTGTTAAATCGGTCTATCATAATGAAATTTGGCATACGGACACATAATAACTAACTGGGGGTATTTCCAAAATTTTAGTTCGAAATTCCAAGAATTACGGGAGTTACGATTTGCGGGGTAGAGGGGGGAGGGAGGGGAATTCCAAAATATACATTTTCTGCGTATTCACATAAGGCATCTGGGACTAAAATTTGGTGTTCCTAGGTCTTATAGTCTCCGAGATATAGGCGATTATACGAATGGAAAATCGGGAAAACCCCCATAGGGGGGAAGTGGGGGGGAAAATCAAAAAAATAAAACAAACTCGTATAGAATACACACATAACGCATCTTCGTGCAAAATTTGGTGTCTCTATCTCTTATAGTCTCTGAGATCCAGGTGTTCATACGGACGGACAGACGGACAGACGGACAGACGGACAGACAGACAGACAGGGCTAGATCGACTCGTCTCGTCATGCTGATCAAGAATATATATACTTTGTGGGGTCTGCCACGCCTCCTTCTGCCTGTTACATTTTTCAGCTCCCGCAAACCTAATATACTCTTGTACATTTCATGTACAGAGTATAAAAATAGCGAAAATGCGTGCGGAGTGGCAGAACAACAGCGTGAAACGTGAACAAATCAGATCGATGACCGCAGTTGACTGAGAGCGGACGCGTAATAACAAGAAAGGAAAAAAGCATAAAACTTAGCACACAAATTACGGGGGCAACGGTGCCCAACGAACTTTTGAATAATGTATTCACAACTGGCATACCCTTCGCAAAATTGTGTCTTGCTTTAGCAATGAAGAGAAATAACGACATACAAGTAGTTCCAAGTCAAATAGTTTAATGGCTAACATGGCCAAAAGACAGGAAAAGGATTGTTCTTCAAAACTATCTAACTACTTTCGTGAGGAAGTCAGGAACCAATTAGTCATTTTTATGAAGAAACTATAACTTGATATTTTTAATAAAAAAAATTTTAACTATATGTATCTGATCACAACTTGCACTTGTTGTAAATAAAAGAATATACCTATTATATACCCTTCCCTCTATCTAACTATTTTTATGAGGAAATCACTAACCAATTACCCATCAAAATGTTATTGAAGAAACTATAACTTGATATTTTTAATTAAATTATTAACTATGTGTATCTGATCACAACTTGCAGTTAATATTGTTGTAAATAAAGGAATATACCTATTATATTATACCCTCCCCTCTATCTAACTACTTTCGTGAGGAAGTCAGGAACCATTTAGCCATTTTTATGAAGAAACTATAACTTGATATTTTTAATAAAAATATTTACTATGTATATAACAACTTGCACTCAATATTGTTGTAAATAAAATAATACAAGTATATTTAGTATATATCCTCCCCTCCTAACTACTTTCGTGAGGAAGTCAGGAACCATTCAGCCATTTTTATGAAGAAACTATAACTTGATATTTTTAATTAAATTTTTAACTATGTATATAACAACTTGCACTCAATATTGTTGTAAATAAAGGAATATACCTATTATACTATATACCCTCCCCTCTATCTAACTACTTTCGTGAGGAAGTCAGGAACCATTTAGCCATTTTTATGAAGAAACTATAACTTGATATTTTTAATAAAAATATTAACTATGTATATGATAACAACTTGCACTCAATATTGTTGTAAATAAAGGAATATATCTATTATATACCCTCCCCTCTATCTAACTACTTTCGTGAGGAAGTCAGGAACCAATTATCCACGAAAATTTTATTGAAGAAACTATAACTTGATATTTTTAATAAAATTATTAACTATGTATATGATAACTTGCACTTAATATTGTTGTAAATATAAGCATAAACCTATTTTTGATAACAAATGTACAATGTTGTAGATAAATCTAGTCATTTCTACATATTACAGAAGAAATGAGCATGAAAAGACAATAGATAGTAATTTCCTTATTGTATGCACATGAAAAAAGATTATTATATTGTGCAGAGTATTTTTTATAGGAATTTCTTTTTCTATAGCCACACATATTTGAACTTACCTCTTGAATTTGTGGCTGCGTCTGCAATCTTTTGGAAAGCATCCAAGTATGCGGCAATAGCCTGAATGGCAGCGCTGTAGAGAGACAGAGAGAGAGAGAGAGTGGAGATGTATATAAAATAAGATATATCTAATGATTATATACTACAACAACAAAAGTTGCAGTCAGACTTCATTAGCCAAAGGCGACACTTCAATTGAAATGCCAGGCAGAGGCAGACAGTTGGAAAGTCCGCAGCTGGCAACTGCACCCAAAAACAACAACAACAACAGCGAAAAAAAGGTGATGCTGGTTGGCAGAGCCAGAAGATAGATGATCATCATGGTGGGTCAATGGGCGCGGGCATATTCTGTACGCCAAACTGCAAATTAGTGTCTCAAGTTGCACGACGGATGTCGCCGACGCCGACGCTGACGCTGACGCCGTCGCCATCCCGTCGGGTTCAACGGTGCGTATGTGTGTCAAGCGCATTGGACAAACACTTGACGTTTTCGAGAGTTGCTTTTGATTTTTTGTTTTTGTTTTTCTTTGTGCCTTTAAATATAATTTGCAAAAATACAAAATTTTCACATGATTTCAGCAGATGATTAATGCACACTATACATACGAGTATGTATCCGCTCGCCATTACATAGAGCAGCGTTACTATACATAAATATTTATGTATAGCATAGAGGCAGACATTGCTCTTGGCGTCTGTAATTTGGGCCAAGTCTGTGCTTGGTAAGAGTGTAAAGACAAAATATAAATAAATAAACAAAACCAGAACGACGATAGCGCGCCACACAGTTCTGCCAACAAAAATAATCACAGACGGTTGGGTTAGGTGTGGAAATGGGAAACATAAAACATTTTGAGGTAGTCGTAGTCACCGTCATTGTTCTGCTATATGCCAAGTGGTTCACATTCACAGTTGCACACAGACACGATTGCAAACTGAAAGGCATGTGTTTATGCATTTCGTAAATAAAATCGAAACATTAAACCCGCACATATGTAGCTCAAATTCGTTTATTTATATTGGACATATATAATCCGATTTTAGAATTTTTTCACTTACCGCAAACAAGTGTGTAGCTTACTGGCCTTTCCCACGAAATCCTCCCAAAGCGGTGATGTGTTCTGAAAAATATAGAAATGCACATTTTATTAGTCAAACATTGTACAATTAATTGGCTTTTTCCTAACATAATGAAAAGTTATTATGTTTCTGTATAAACAAATTTCGTTGCTGCTTTACTGATTGGACAGCTTAAATAAATAAATTGGCAATATGACGTGAACATCAATTTAAATGACGTACGCTCGTTGATTGCAAGGCAGAGCATAAATATTTATTTTCGCGTTGGAATACTCACATAAAAGAGCTTCAAAAACTACATACTATACAATATGTACATACATGCATACATATGAGCTAGTCAAAATGCTGGCGAGCGCGCCTCAAGTTATGCAACAAATATCGCTTGCTATAAAAGTCGCACAATAAAAACCACAAATGAGAGTCTTTCGTGTGTTTATGGGTCAACAAAAAATCAATATGATTTCATTAAATAAGTCTTGTAGTCAGAGAAATCAATATGATTTCATTAAATAAGTCTTGTAGTCAGAGAAGACTGAAATAAAGTGGTTAACAACAGGGTACAGCGCTGTCAATAATTAAAAAGAAAAGAGATTGCAACTTTGCTTAAGTATCTTGAGGAAGGATTCAAAGAAAAACCTATCATTCTTTGGTTTGCCTAAGTACAATAATGTAATATGTTGAGCGGAGCATTCAGTTTTAATCAGCATTTATTGTTGTTAACATTAAACGCCCACACTTGTCTGCATCCCTGCTGCCTGTCACAACTTTTTAAATATTTTAATAAAGTTTGACAACTCGAATTGGCAAACGCCAAACGCCAAACGCGAGCTTATTTACATTACAGCTCTGATTTATTCAGAAAATTTATTTAGACTTTTGTTGTCTGTACCTTTCATTACACACATGTATGTATGTACGAGTTCCACAGCACAAAGAGCGGAATAATTCAGAATAATTTGCATATTGCATGCTGTCAGCGACAGAAATGTGATAAACTCAATCAATTCAGCACTGGACGAGCTTAAATTAGTTTATAAAAATGTCAGCATTGTGCATATGAATAAAATGTATTTAAATTCCTTGGTGCCAGCTTTATTGCTGCACAAAAGAGAAGTCTGTTGAGAGAATAAATAAAGCAGTTATTTGATTCGAACTTTGGTCAAAGGCTTTATTTTTGTTAAACTTATAACATAATACTATATATGTATGTATGTTTTAAACCTCATTATGGCCATACTTGGCATATCATTACAACACGGCAGCCAGACGAAGTGTCAAAATATTGTCTGATTGAAACAGTTGGGCGTTGATTGGCAGCTGTCAAGTGGCTGCGGGACGCTAACCCAAGCCGAGCTACATATATTGTGCAATAGATAGTACTAACACATACACACATACATATATGTATATATAGTAGAGATGCAATATGGGTTTTATGTGTTTAATCAAATTGAGAAACCTGTGTGCTTGGTAACCGACACAGCATGCTCGCAATATACACTTAATTGTTTCTCTGATGGGGGCGAACTTTATTAAAAATTGCGAATAGGAGAGCTGCCTGGGGGGAGCTTTTAATTTACATTTCCTACGAACTGGTCTGTGCGAAATTGCTAAAAGGTATAGGGCAATAACTGAATTCGCCAAAGCTGCGACGGCACAACTATGAGAAAATGTTGCCCCTAACGTATTTGGTCAAAACAACAAATACACACAAATACACGAATGGGCCGAGAAGCAGCAAACGTGCCAAAGTTTTCAGCAGTTTCATTGTCAACCCATAAATGCAAGTGGAGGCTTTACAGCAGCTACCAGCAAATTACGCGCCATAAAAAGTAACAAAAGATTTAAACATATTTAAAAAAACATAAAACAAAAATAATAATAATAGTAGGGAAAAACATAACAACAACAAGCAGCCGGAAAGAAGCGCAAAATCACGTAAATGGTCAATAAAAGTGAAAACGGGTTTGGCAAAAGCGACAGCTTATGGACTTGGTCACAATATGCTGGCCAGCAAAAAGTCGCAATGACCATTTTGATGTGCACAGCTGCCACCATCGTTACTGCTTCTTCTTCTTCATTCTTCGCACGATAATATATTGAACAGTTGCTGCCGCAGAAGCCTTACAAATATTACACAACCAATGACATTGAAAGAAGAAAAAGACGGACGCGTCAAGTCGAGTCGAGTCGAGCCAGTCTTGTGGATGGACGACAGTGCTTGCAGTAATAGAGACATAAAACATTTGACATTAATGGCTAATAAGAAAACAGTTTTATAACGCCGTTTCAGCCACGCCAACAACGAGCCTAGAGCATATTTGCTTTAAAATCTGATTCGCAAAAGCCGTTTACGATTCACGCTATGGCCCTTTGGCGAAATGCCAAAAGGCTAAATAAAATCAACTTTACTTTTATGTTGTGATATAAAATGCAATGCATTTGATTTGCCTCCAATTCCGATTTCGCTTTCGATTTTTATTTTCTGTGCAGTCAGTCAAGCAAAAAATGCAATTTTTTCATTTCGAATGCATAAAAAAGCGCAAATGCCAATTTGCCACATAAAAGTATAGAGCGACCGACAAAAGGTAAAATGGCAAGTCGGGGCTAGACCAGGCCAAGCCAAGCCAGGCCAGGCCAGGCCAGACCAGGCACAAATGATGACGCAGTGCATTCAGCTGTATGAAAAGGTGAAAACGAGCTACGAAACGGAAATCGATTTGGTGTTCATTCCCCCTCCTCCCTCCTTCTTTTTTTTAGCAAACTAAACCACTGGAAAACAAACAAAGAGCACATTTAGCAAAAACCGCAAGGAAAAGTGTGATTTTAAGGGAACTTATAAAGCCAAATACAATTGACGAGAGATTGCTGGTCAGTCGTTTGTTGGTCTACAGTCAGAGAATAGTAATCCATTACAGTGCTTTCAGATAAATATATAAACAAAAATTCACATACATATGTATTTTCCAAGGAATGGGGAAATTTAAGATTGTTTTTGGAAAGTATTTATTTAATCATCAATATCTATTTTGTTCCCTTTAAAGGAATCGCCCTCAGATATAATGCCAGCGCTTCTTCCAATCCTCGAAGCACTTCTGAAATACACTTTTCTTCCATCTTCGATTTTGATTTTATCTCATCAATTGTGGCAAATCGCTTTCCTTTCCTTTCATTGGTCTTTTCAGTTTTGGGAATAGGAAAAAGACGCATAACTGTATCATATCTACGAGGAATTGTTTTGAAGGGAACAAAATGGATATTGATGTTTAAATATATACTTTTCGAAGGAATTAAAAATTCACCTTTTCGTTTGAACAGACCTTGCAAACGTTCCATTACTTCCTTGTAGTATTCCTTATTAACCGTGCGACCTGTTGGCAAGAACTCATGCTGCACCACGCATTGTAATCGAAGAAAATGGTGAGCAAAACCTTCACCTTTTATTTTGAACGGAACTCGTATGTACAAAACCAATCATTTTAGAGACACACAGATTTTAAATGAAATACTATTTTTTAATTTATATCATCGACTATTCAATTATAGAAATTCTTGTGTCTCCAAACACTATGGGGAACAATTAATACCTCTTACAAAACGCTGGCAGTGATAAGAGAAGGCGGCGTCACATCTTGCACCACACACTCCAAAATCGATGGGGCATTACAAAATGCTCAAGTCGCCGCCGTTGCCTGCCACTACCCACTTGTTGTTGTCATTGTCATTGCGTATTGTTGTCATTCAGTCAACGAGCCAGTCAGTCAATCGATAGCCTGCCTGTCTGTCCGTCAGTCTGTCCATCTGTCAGCTTACAATTCTTTTATAATTTGGTGGCATACAATGGTTCACTTGTGCCGCTGACAGATTGCTCGATTCGGCAGCAAGAAATGAAGGCGGGACGGCATTACACGTAGCGCCTTATTTGGCCCATGTCTGCTATTCGGCTTGCTTTTAAATAACAGACATGGGAATTGAAGCGTAGCTCAAAATTTGATTGAGCAAACACTTGACCTGCCACAACTTGTTGTATGTTAATGCGAACTTAGAAAAGCGCGGCATTGAAATGGAATCAATGATGACTGACATTAGTTCTAATTTGCCTGTGGCTGGTACCTCCCAAATGATATATAATGGCTGGCCAGAAGCTGAACATTAAAGAACCTGTCAAATGGTCCAATACAAATTTCGTTTATAACGCAATTTTTTAGAACTTGAAAGGAATCGAGCTGACAACTTCTTTGTTTATCAAATATGTGGCTGGGGAAGCAATAAAAGCTGACAACATTGGCAATATTTGTCAAGTTATTGACAGCAGCAAAGCGAGTGTTGACATTGCTGGCTCAGAAGATTGGAATATGAAGAATTGTCGTAGGTGTGTGCGCTTGTGTTATACATAAATTAATTTGAAACAAAAGCCTGAAGCTGAGAAGCTCAGAAGCGGAGACTGAACAAAGACTGAAGCAAATTTATGCAAACAAGTCAAGGCAAACAACACGAAAAGTTAATAAATATCGGCAAGCCTATATAATAATGCTGCGGACATGATAAATGCCTCGAAACAACACACATGCACAACTTCCTTATGATTGAAAAGCGGCAACATAAATTTAAATAAGTGTACAGCTTAGTCCAATTGTCGGCCCACATGTAATTTGCGCTACATAAAATCTCTATGCGAGTATTACAACGACAACAACAACAACAAAAATGTATATTATTTTACAGAAAACTCGCAACCTGATAAGCGACTTTTGCGAGCAATTGAAAAAAACTGATGCGTGGGATGGAAAACGTCGTCTGTAGCTTGTAGTTCCAACTATGTAGTTTTATGAATGAATGAAAACAATTTCTGTGTCTGAAGTTTGGCGACAGCCCAAGGCGGCCGGTCAATTGCCATTCACACAAACACACACACACACATGCACATACACTCACACGCAATACTGTCATTACTGACCGGGCCGTCTCGTGGTGATGGCGTCGTGGGCGTCATTGGCCAGGCAGTAATGGCTCTGCGCCTAAAACTCGCATGTTTTTATGAATGCGCTGGTTTTATGAATGAGCCGATTGCCGCCATGCCTTTGGGTGCAGTTATGCTTATGAACATTAGAGCCTAATGCACATTACGTGCCAACATTCTGCTCAAGCAATGCAGCATTAAATCATAATACCAAATACAAATACTATTATGGAGGAGCTACAAATTCGTTCATTACGAGCGGCCATGTCCCCAAAAGGTGGAGGCACGCGTTTGCGGTCATCTAGCGGTCAACCTTAAAATTGGGGTCTTTCGACACATGTGCTGCATTCGAATGGTTTGCGTAAGTCTCAGGTGCTATAAAGCTGACAGCAATTATCTGCCTGACATTATAACAAGCCAACACTTTCCAGTTTAAATGCGCATCGCACAAAATAAAAAGCCGTAGGCAGCTTCGAAAAGTGCAATGTACTAGTACGTGTATCTATTTATCTGCATCTCTATGCGAGACACCTAAAAACCCACAATTTATGCCAAACAACAGCAGCAACGGCTTGAATAATGCCCGCGAATGTACGGCTGAAAACTGGAAAAGTTCACACGAATAGACACGCACACACACACACACATACAAGTATATACACACACCTAGCCGGAGAAGACAGGGTCTGAGAGACAGACAGGCTTTTATAAACTCTTGATCTTTCCAATAGCCTACTAACATCCTACACGAGTTTAAAACGCTGCAGCCAGCCTCGCTGCTTACTTTGCTGTTGTTGTTGTCAGCGAGCAGGCAAAAAAGAGACGCGACTTCACTCATTCATGCAACAAAATTGCTGCGATTGTTGTTGTTGGTGTTGTTGTTTGATAGTTTTAAGCTTCCTTTGCCTGTGTGCATCGTACACACATTGTGGCCAAACATTAGGTAGAGCCCATGGGGTACAGTGGGTCAGTTATTACGTACAAGTATGCTGGCGAAAATGCCACAATTCCTAAATGTTCTACAAATTTTATATCAGCAGACTGTTAAATGATTGCAAAGAAACGTGTTTTGAACCAAATTATAAGTAGAATGTCCAAAAATACAGTTTCCTTTGTAAAGAGATCCATTTGCAACATTTTCATACTTTTGTTGACTTGCCCATGAATTGAAATTTTCATCATTATTTTGTGATTTTTTGGCATCAGGCGTAAAAGAAATTTATGAGTAACTTGAACTTTGATTTGCCATTCGTGGCTTTGCAGTTATTGAAACCACAACAGTAGAAATATATTTATAATATCAAACTTTCGGCGACTCTTCACCGCTAAATTGCCGATCCACACTCCTGTGCAACGTTTGTTTGCCGGATTGTCGACTAGCTGGCTAGTCAAACGGGTTCAGCCGCACGTTCACGTCCTACATTGGACTTTTTGGGTTAAAACTTTTTAGCGCAATGCAAAACAGGCCTGGCCACTACAGTTGTCTAGCTTATGGCAAACGCTTTATGACTAGCGGTTATAAAGGAGTTCAGCTGATTGATTTTCTATATATCTATGTACATGTATATTTTCTATGTATATGTGTGTTTGTTCATAGCCAGTGGCTATAATTTCAATGTTAACGCCACACTGCCTTTTTCACCCGATGGACAAAATCGTGCGCCGCTAATTTGCACCTATTGCCAATTTTTAGAAAGTTTCGCAAAATTATTTGTCAGGAATTTGAAATGAAAGTGTTACTGTCAGTCCGCCTTTTCTCCAGCTTTAATAAAGGAGAATCCTAAGGAATAATTTCTGAACCTACTTATACTATAATAAATATTATGAGAGAAGATAGACTTTTGTGCGAACAAGTGCTATAGTTTTTACATATTTATTGAATAATCTCCCACATTCGTTTATTTAAATTTTAGCCATGTCTTTTTCGAAACATATTTTGGCTAGACGCGTTTCAAAATGGAGTTGAAAAACTTTAAATTAATGGAGAAGAATTGTCTGGGAGGTATGTCTGTTTCAAAAAATTGAAGGAATAGATCAATTCTCCGAAAATTCATTGATGACAGTGCCTGCAATAAGTAAATACTTGTACACTAGTACTTGTACCACAACATCTACAATAACTCATGTTTATATATCAAAGTTATTTCTGATAAACCTAAAACCCAGTTGATATCCAGTTTATTTACTGAAGAATCTGGACAAATGTACTTGAAAACAGGTACAACACCATTGACAGTGCATTGCAAAGATTAACTATTAACTGCATTTAATAATGCTCAATCCTTTTTGAATCAAGCAAATCAAGCAAACTTTTTCTAATGCCTATGAAATCATCGGTTATAATTCAAAAGCTTGACAATCATTAAGTGTACAATCGGCGCTTCACATTGTCGGATTGCAATTGAATAACTCAAAGCTGGATTTAATGCAATATGCCAATTAAAATGTAAAACCGATTACCAGTGGCAGAAAACTGATTCCAAATGGCATTGCAAATACTTGAATACAATAATGCATATGCCACATGGTAAGAGAAAACCAAAGCTGACATATGGCCGATGGCGGAATACGAGTAGCAACACTCGGACTCGTCTCTGTGTAACCAAAGACCGAAAACCAAAGACTTGCTGTTTGCAACATGCACTACACACAACGGTAATGGCCACAATTCGTGTAGGTAACAATACCAACTAGACGTCTGAGCACATAAACAAAGACTGTCGAGTTGAATGGCTGCTAGCTGCGAGCGGCGAGCTACTCATGTCATGTGCCATGTGGCATGTGCCGTGGCAGAAACCACAAAATCTAAACAACAGCGGCAACAACAATAAACTACAAAACTCAGACACATGCTGTTACCTCTGAACGGACCACCAGACACCGAATGAGCACCAAAACAAATGAATTTCCAACATACGAGTATAGCACAACCTAAAGATAAAACGCCTCGGAATCATTAACACAACAACCAAGAAAGCTGCAGTTTATTAATATGAATATACGGGTATAGTTAGCGGAACTTTTGGTTCTACATTAAAAAGCATTGCTCTATTCGTGCATAGATTTAATGAAAAGAAAATAAATAATAAGAAAACAGCTATTTCGTAACTAAACTTTAATGAGTTTTTAATTTAAGAATTAATTTATGGACCGTCGTGGGCTTTTTGATTTATTCTTAAATACAAAGATTCCCATCTGAAATCCCAAATGAAAGATATACAATTCCTCCTACAGATTATATAGCACTCTTCTGTATCTATGCATTATCCAGCTTTTTTGAAGATTCCTTTCATTTGCAGACAGGTGAGACGTATGTTTGAGTAAAAAATATGACGATTTATGATCTGATAATCTATTTATTCAACTTCTTCTATTTGACTGTAATATTCCTTATGTGTGGGTTCCACTTCTAACTCCGTTGAGGATACCAATTCACCAATGTACTACAATTCACTATATTGGTAACTGTTTCTGATAATATATTTACGATACTGATGATATGGGGAATACTTTTCCGAAGGATCTATAAGGATCAAAGACAATTCGACAATGTTGATTAGAGAATGGGAGCAATTGGAACCAAATTTGCTCAAAACTCTTGTTAAAAGTATGAAGAATGTAATTTTTGAGACAATTTAAGCCGTTTAAATACATTAAAAAATATTATTCGTTTTAATATTGAAAATTTACGCAAGTGGGTCTATAGTAATGCAACAGCAAAAAAACCGTTTTTCCCCTATTTCTTAAAATTTTACACTAAATATTCTTACTTATTATGTGTTTAACACATTTTCGCAGAACATTGTTGTACCCTACAGTTAAGCAATTGCAACTTTTTTAATTGGTTCTATAGTTTTGCAACGCACCTTCTTTAATTTATAGCAAAAATTATCAGTTTATTAAATTGGTATACTAGTTTAGTGCGAATGATCCCCCCAAATATATTCTTGATCAGTATGACAAGACGAGTCAGTATAGTCCATCTGTCCGGCCTCTATATGGATCACAAGGATCACAAAAGGTACAAGAGCTGGAATAACAAAACTTGGTACCCAGGTTCGCCTATGCCCTAAGTAATTCAAGTTTATGTTGCCGCTATAGCTCAATTCTATACTGCATACATATACATGTTAATAATTTAATTATTTAAATTTGAAAAATTAAATTTCAAATATTTTATTTAATAATAATTTTTTTGTAGAAGCTGAGTCCGCTTTGCTTTAACATTTCATTCTTGCTTGATTTAGAAATGTTACATTTTTTCTAATTCACCTCTAATTTCATAACATATGCTGTTTGGCCGCCTCACATTATTCTTATCGAAAGCTTCCAACATTATCACCATCTTATAGCGTCCGCTTAAAGTTGTCCCTCGTATGTTATTTAAAGTAATTTTTAGATCGAATGGTTCCAACACAAACACGGTCTGTAAAACAAAACATTTATCACATATAGATTTAAGGACTGAAAGATATACTACATTACACCAGGAGTATTGAGGCACTTCTGTTCCACGTCTTTTCGGTTAGAAATATGTTGCGTCCAATATTTATACCAATACTCGTTCTTGCCATACATAATGGCGCAGAAATTTTGATTGCTCATACTGAAAACAGTGGGTTCCCAAGCTCCTCGTTCGAAGTGGTACATAGATGCTGAAGCCTGGAGGGATGTATTAAAGATTGTGGGTCAAGAATCTAACTAGTCCTCAAATGTTACCCGAACACGATCGGCAGGATCCACATTCCAAACTGTGCTTGCATTGCCCTTCACATGGATTGTATTTCCATCTGATGTTAACGTTACGTGCTCTAAATCAAGAATCCCATGTATATTCGATGCACCAGGTGGGGCATTTGAACAGTCGGAGAATATGTCCGGATCCTCCAGGATCAATTCGTAGTCTGCTGCGAGCACACTAATAGAAGCGATCCCTAAAAGCAGCAATGTCTCCACCCACATGTTAAGTAACAATTGTGGCAGCTAAGTTTGGAGAACGCTTTTATACGAGCACAACTACAGTATAGTACATGACTCCACTAATTATAATGTAATTAATTATACAAATAATGTGATAGGTCATGTAGCTTCGGTTTAACGTACTTTCCGATGCTATCTACAGCATTGTTACAATATTGTTACATTTTGTTGTGAACAAGATCATTTAAAATTTGCTAGAGTATTCTCTACTTTTTAATAGAGTTTAACAGAATACATATATGACGGCTTTTGCAAGCAATTGTTATAGACTTTGTATTTTCATTTAACAAGTTGCTGTTTGCCTTTTGTTTGACATTGAATTCAATTGAATTCCATTAGAAATGACCGGGCAGGAGGGAACTTTGCCCCTGTCTGGGCATGCGTCAACATCAACCTGGAGACAATCTCGAAGCCCATTTTGCATAATTGGGCGTGTAGTCGACGCCACACCTCCTCCTACACAACTACACACCCACATTATAAAGACACATGCACATCCCTATGTGCATTAACATGCAAGGCAATCTCAGAATCTAAAAAGCGGGCATCTTCCAGAGCACATGTACTATAGCACGAGTGTAATATATTTGTGATTTGTGTTTAACAGCAATTTCGTATCCATTAAAATTAATTGCCACAAGATTGGCCCGGCGCCCGTTCGCGTCGCATTCCCGAAGCACAACACGCTACCATTTCACATGCACATCATGTCAAAATGCCAAGCCAAGCTAAGCGGCAGTCTCCGAGCAACAATCACCCGCAGTATTGTTTAAACAATAATGCAAAGTAATTAATATGACGACGATGACAGAGACGGATACGAGTAGCAACCATCTTGGTTGGTTGTTTTTTGTTTTCTTCTTGCTGGGAGGAAACAATTTTCTCTCGTTGCTATATACGTTACACTATAGAATGGCAAACCAGAGCAAAAGAGCAGCCGATCCAAGTGAGGGTCAAATATCAGGTTGGCTCCTCACAATGGCATGAAATGTATCTCATCGCTATTGTTGTTACTTCACATACGAGTATATACATATTTGTATTAAGGCAACGAAACCTTTGCCATTCCTTCTTCAAGTATGTATACAATTTGAATTTTATTTTTTTTATTTTTTCCAAATACTTTAATCATTTTGATATAAGCATTGAAATTAAAACGCTTCAGGCTCAACAAATTTTTATGTTGACCCTTTTTGAGAAAACTCATCGAAGAATTGAAAGCAATTGGGAACAAAAAAAATGGATGGGCATGTTTTTAAAAGAAGTACCGGGTTTGGATATAATTTTAAAAATAATTCTTCTGCAAGCTTCTATTCTTAGAAGCATTCTCAAAATCTGTTTTGCATTGTGAAGCTAGAAAAGATTCTAAAAGGTATAATTATACTCATTATAAAGTTTAATAAATTCTTTCGTATGAAACTATTTTGCTATAAGCATTCCGCTAGGTCGACAGAGTCCAGACTTGATTTAAAATAAAGTGATCTAGCAACTATTGATTTCTTGGGCATATGATAATTAAGTTATTAATCTGCAGCTTAGTGGTATGCCACAGCAGTCGTTCTAGTTAAACTAGTGGGAAAAGGAGCATAGCCAGCATTTGTTTGTCGCATGAAATGAGCACAACCTTGAGCTAGTTTCCTCGGGTAACTAACTGGGTGAGCCTTTGGCAGCCCTCTCACACATCCTGCACTTTGTTAGGATTGTTTGAAAAATGCACAATACAGTTGGTGGCGCAACAAAAAGCTCTTAACGGATACATGGCTCGAAGGCAACATTTCAAAATAAGTTAGTTGATAGCGAAAACAAAAGCGTGTGTCAGTCAGTTCATATCCCGCCAGTTCGTGGCCTTGAATATGGCATTTATATGCATACATACATATTTGCAGCCATCAGAGGAACACGAGATATTGTCATAGAAACGGCAAGCATTGCGTCAACAGCCGCTGCTCAACGCTATAAATAAAAACTCATTAGGTTTATGTATTGGGAAAAATGACTTACAGCCCACACAACGAGCTGACACACAGACTGGCATCGCGCTAAACAACGTGATATACAACAACAACATGATAAACATATAGTACACATAAACAAACAAATCGTATCGTATTAATGGCAAATTTTTGAAATGGCGCAGATGAAGTTTCAAAAATTACGAAAAACTAACTAGTACTGAAGTTGAACCACATTTTTAATTGCAAAGATCTGCTGACGGTATTAATTCGCCAAATTATCTAAAGTATAGAAATAGACTTGATACAACAACATGATAAACATATAGTACACATAAACAAACAAATCGTATCGTATTAATGGCAAATTTTTGAAATGGCGCAGATGAAGTTTCAAAAATTACGAAAAACTAACTAGTACTGAAGTTGAACCACATTTTTAATTGCTGGCAGTATTCATTCGCCAAATTATCTAAAGTATAGAAATAGACTTGATACAACAACATGATAAACATATAGTACACATAAACAAACAAATCGTATCGTATTAATGGCAAATTTTTGAAATGGCGCAGATGAAGTCTCAAAAATTATGAAAAACTAACTAGTACTGAAGTTGAACCACATTTTTAATTGCAAAGATCTGCTGACAGTATTAATTCGTCAAATTATCTAAAGGATCGAAAAATAGACTTGTTTTAAATTTAAATCTCTGTTCAAGTTACAGATAAAGGCCACTATATACTATTCACATTATAAACAGCTCGGGTTTGGCGCCAATCTCTAGCCTATGTTGCTCATTAAGCTTATGACGCCAACCTAACAAAAGCAGCGGTGGCTTTAAAAGTTTTTTACTGAATTAATTAAATTCGATTTTAATTATCTTTTGTCACAAAATGCATTTTCATAATTGAAAACAAAAACCTGTCCAACCTTGTAACGGAAAGAAACACATGCATACAAATGTCCCATATCTAACACCAAAGCACATTTAAATGCACTACAATTATTGGAAATGGGAGCTTTGTTTCCATTTCCATGTAACACTGCATATTTTGTCAAACAAATTTATGTAAAGTGTCTACCTGCCTGCAGATTACAAATTAGTTAGTTGTTAATGCACAATATAAACAACATTTATTTGCACTTTTAGCTTTTATTTATCGACTCGCATAACTGCCAAATTCCATTCCAAATATTGTGCAACCTCGCTTGAGCTCTCCACGCCCACAACCCTGAGCTACAAACATCACACATTCTGGTTTATTTAGATAACACTAATTTAAAATTCATGTTTGTAACCCATTTCAAATGTTCAAAATACAAAGCCAAACAACAAAATGCCATTAATTTTGTATCCCCCATACAATTTTTGGCTTTGCATGTAGTTGGATGAATTAATTCTGAATACGCGGTGCGCATCATTACAGAAAGTGGAGTCTTGCCAGGACATACAAATACTGGAAGTTGGCCTTATAGGCTCATCAGTAGAGACGAGTCAGCACAATGAGTCGCACCGTGCCAAAAGGTAGTAGGGACTTGCAACTAAAAGAACCTAAAGAGGAGGAACCCGACTGGTGGGCAGAGCTCAGCAAAGCCACCGCTATACATGGCGCACCCTATCTGGTGCGGAAGGACCTACATTGGATCGAAAAGCTTTTCTGGCTGATCACTATAGTTGCAGCTGCCTTCTACTCGATTAACAGTTGTATTGTTCAATGGGAGCGTTTTCGCGACAATCCCCTAGTCTACCAGTACGAGTATCTTTTCGCCCTACGAAATTTTACCTTTATGGGCGTAACATTTTGTGCAGAATATGAAATAGAGGAGCAAGGCGATATGTTAATAAACGAGTGAGTACACCAATAATGGGATTTATATGTATGGTATTTTGTACAGAAAACACATCCCATCTCAACACATCAATTGTTAGAACCTGGGGTGCTGAGATCGCCATATCGTCGGATAAATTTGCCTACTATCGAAAATTTTTGCATATTCTAAATCGTTTGCACTACAACAACTTGGAGAAATTGGAGCCCTTCGAAAATGATACAAGCTTGGAGCATTTGAATTATGTGGATCTCTTGTTGCAAGTTAAGCATAACTATGACTGAGTAAAGCACTTTTTTGTAATCGTTTATATGACACTAACAGTTACAGCGAAATATAATGCCGGAACAAAAAAAATCACCAGCAATGTACGCAGCATCTATAACCGAAATGGGTCTCTGCCAGACCACTAGCCAGCTTTCACACTATGGTAATCCCTATGGTACTATGTGAGTAAGAGCTATAATGTTATATACTATACTAGAAAATCTATACATATACAAAAAAGTTCAGTAAGACTTATATCATAGTATCTGAGTAAATGTCTTAACGAATTGTGATTTAAGATTTCCGATTGTTGATTTCTCTCTGCTGAACGCTTGTGACAATTATTTCATTAAAAATCTTCTGATTTTTTGACAAAAAATCATAAATGCACATTAATTTGTACAGGCAACATTTTTGTTTTTTGTCAATCGCACAACAATCGCAATCGGTGAATGCGATTGACGTTTTTTCAAATCGCAATCACAAATAAGAGCGTTCAGCAGGTAAAATAAGTAATCATCAATCACAGTGTTGTTTTTTTGAAGGGATCATCTAGATGTGATGCCAACGCAACTGTGTAATTTCTTCTACGAATGTCAATACAAGCATTTGCCCGTGAAAACCGGTAATGTTCAACTATATTTGGTGAGAAAAATATGCCGAAGTGCTTTTGAAATTATAGTATGTTGTAAGGGTCTCTCCTAAGTAGTACATTCATGATGTCAATGAGGTGATGCTTCCAAACGACCGTCACACAGTATTCTATAATGCTGGAACACAGAGTTCGTTCATGCTGAAGCTGCTACTAAACTCCATTACGGCACAGAAGGAGGTGGAAAATGTGCCTGTAGCCTATCGCAAGTGTCGGTACCTCCATGAAAATGAATTAAAATACTATAAGGTGGGTGAGGGGTTTGAGACTTACGATAG